GAAGGACAGGGAGGAAGGGAGAGAGGGGGGAAGGAAGGAAGTTGATGGGAAAGGGAGGGAGGGAGGATGGAAGGAAGGAAGGGAGGGAGGGAGGGAAGGAAGGAGGGAGGGAGGAAAAGAGGGAGGGAGAGAGAGAGGGAGGAAGGAAGGAGGGAAGTTGATGGGAAAGGGAGGGAGAGAGGATGGAAGGAAGGGAGGGAGGGAAGGAAGGAGAGAGGGAGGGAGAGAGGATGGGAGGAAGGGAGGGAGGGAGGGAAAGAGAGGGAGGGAGGGAGGGAGGAAGGAAGGAAGGAAGGAAGGAAGAAGGGAAGCTGATGGGAAAGGGAGGAAGGAAGGAAAGAAAGGAAGAAAGGAACTTGATTTTTTTCCCCATTTTACGTCCTTTTTTGCCTCACTTGTTAAGTGAATGGCTGCAGTTGATAAGTTAACCACCCGGTCGTTAAGCGAATCAGCTTCCCCATTGACCTTGCTCATCAGAAGTTTGCAAAAAGGGGATCGTGTGACCCCAGGGAGACACTGCAACCATCCTAAATATGAATTAGTTGCCAAGCGGTTTTTGAATTTGCATCCCAAGAACCGTGGGGATGCTGCAAAGGTCACCACTGTGAAAAAAAAAACGTGTTCCTCGGTGCCGTCGTAACCTTTGGACGGTCACTAAATGAACCGTCGTACGTTGAGGACTTCTGGTATACAATTCCGGAGCCAGCCTTGGATTAGGACGTTCATGATGGAGCTGCCTCGAGTTGATTCAGCGTTAAACAATTTAGCCCCTGGGCTCCTGTGTTCCTGGGAGTTTTTAATTGCTTGCAAGTCACCGCATTGTATTTCTATTAATTTATTGTAATTGCTTATTTAATCACCTCTAGATCTGCTCATCCAGCAAGGGGATTAACGCTGCTCCTCTGTCTTCGGAGAAGATCCCCGGGAAACCAAGAAGACAAATGGTGGAGAGAACTAAGATGGCTGCTTAGACAAATGGGCAAGGGACACCCACAGGATCCAGGGCAGGTCCGATTGTGCTCTTCCTCTTGCAACTGGCTTCAATCTGTTGCTCTCCAGATGTGTGCAATTACAAGTCCCATCACCATGGGGAGTTGGTGAGGGAGGTCAGAAGCTTCTTCCATTCTCTTCTTCAGCTTCTATAATAATAATAATAATAATAATAATAATGAGGAGGAGGAGGAGGAGAGGAGGAGGAGGAGGAGGAGGAGGAGGAGGAGAAGAAAAGAAGAAGAAGGAGGAGGAGGAGGAGAAGGAGAAGGAGAAGAAGAGGAGGAGGAGGAAGAGGAGGAGGAGGAGGAGGAGGAGGAGGAGGAGGAGGAGGAAGGGACTCAGAGGTTATCTAGTCCAACCCCCTGCTCAGGCAGGAAACCCTATACCATTTGAGAAGTAAAATGTGTTTTTTTAAAAAAAAGAAAAGAAAAGAAAGAAAGACACCCCAAGTCCAGTTGCCTTTTGGGGAAAACAAAAACACCACCATTGGGGCAACCAATTATTTGTTTGTTTATTAAATTTGTCACCCATCTCACTGTGGGGTTACCCTCGGCGGCGTACAACAGTAAAACAGAGAAAAAATGGTAAAATAAATAAATAAAAATTAAAAATAACAAATGTGCATTCATCTAAGCCAGTGATTCTCAACCTTTCTAATGCCGTGACCCCATAATACAGTTCCCCGTGTTGTGGTGACCCCCAAGTGGGTGTGGCCACCAATAAGAGGGAGTAGGACAGCTAGGGAAAAGGGAAAAAATGGTGGACAGCGTGGTTTGGTGACCCCCGTGAAATGGTCATTCGACCACAAATGGGGTCCCGACCCACAGGTTGAGAACCACTGATCTAAGCCATGTGGCTGCTAAAAATGAAGGATGAGTCTGGAACGGGGCTTTTGTGACTTATTTGCCAGTTTCCCTGTACATGCCAGTTTCAATCACTTTCACTTGTCCTGACGAGAAGAGAGAGAAAGACAGAGACAGAGACAGAGACAGAGACAGACGGACAGCGACAGAGAGAGAGAGAGACAGATACAGAGACAGAGAGAGAGACACACAGAGACAGACAGAGAGAGGGGGGAGGGGGGAGGGAAGGAGGGAGGGAGGGAGACTGTTGGCCAGTTGCTAGTCAGTTTCGGTTCTTCTACTCTAGATGCCCTGCCTTGGCTGAGTTTCTTTCCTTCCTCCAAGGGACTATTTCTGAGGCCTACATTTTTCTTATTTCACATACTTTTAACTAAGGAAGCGCCCCCCAAAGGGATGTTGGAGCGAGGGAGGGGGGGTCAGGCAGGCGGGGGGGCCACAGATCGCCAAGCAGTGTCCTACAGAGACAGTCCTAGCACTTTTTGTTTGTTTGTTTGCTGAAACCTCCGTTGGGGACACTGTCTACCGGCAAACTCAGAGCTTGGGTCAGCTGGCCATTTGGCAGAGGCAGGCGATGCGGACCCTAATAGCGAGGAACAGCAAGAGAGGGCATCAACCATGGAGGGGAAAGGAGCTCAGGAGAGGGGAAGGGAATGAGAAGGGAGGGAGGGAGGGAGAGGGGAGGGGAGAGGAGAAGGGGAGAGGAGAAGGAGAAGGGAGGGAGAGAAGAGGAGAGGGAGAGGGGAGGGGGAGAGGGAGAAGAAAGGAGAGGAAAGGAGAGGAGGAGCGAGAGAAGTGGAGAGGAGAGATGGGGAGGGGAGGGGAGGGGAGAGGAGAGGAGGAGGAGGGTGGAGAGGAGAGGGAGGAGAGAGGGCAGAGGAGGGGGAGGGAGAGGAGTGGAATGGAGAGGAGAGGGGAGGGCAGGGGAGAGGGAGAAGAGAGGCGAGGTGAGGAAAAGAAAGGAGAGGAGGAAAGAGGAGAGGGCAGAGGAGGGGGAGGGAGAGGAGGAGTGGAGAGGAGAGGGGAGGGAGGGGAGGGCAGGGGAGAGGGAGAGGGAAAGGAGGGAAAAGAAAGGAGGAGAAGGAGAGGGAGGAAAGAGGAGAAGAAAAGGAGAGAAAAGAAAGGAGTAGGAGAGGACAGGGAGGAAAGAGGAGAAGGCAGAGGATGGGGAGGGAGAGGAGTGGAGTGGAGAGGGAGGGGAGGGCAGGGGAGAGGGAGAGGGAAAGGAGAGAAAAGAAAGGAGGAGGAGGAGGAGGAGGAGAGGAGAGGGAGAAAAGAGGAGAGGGCAGAGGATGGGGAGGGAGAGGAATGGAGTGGAGAGGAGAGGGAGAGCAGGGGAGAGAGGAGAGGAAAAGAAAGGAGTGGAGAGGAAGAGGAGACTAGAGAAACAGGAGAGGGGAGAGGAGAGGAGAGGGAGAGAAAGGGAGGAAAGAAGAGGACGGGGAGGGGAGAGGAGAGGAAGAGGAGAGGGGACAGTGGACGGGGAGGCCCTCTTCTCCCCGACCTTCCCTCCCCGGCCAATTTTAATTGAAATTTAATTCTGAATTATGACGATCGGGATTCCAGAGGCACCTCTGGGGTTAAGTCGGGATTCTGCGGAGAGAGACCGGCGCTTCTGCCTCCCCAGCCCCGCCGCTTCCCGGACTTTCCGACATTCGCCCCAGCGCTCCGACCTTGATTCGGTTAGGGTTTTTTTGGGGAGGGGGTGTTCCTTTTCCCCCCCCCCCCCGTCATTTCGCCGCTTAGTACCGAGGAGCACAGAGGCAGCGCTGCGTCGCGGGCGCGGGGAAGAAAAGGGACCCCTTGAAACGCGGGTCCAGAGCGTCGTGTGAATGCGCGCAGGGGTGGCGGGTGGGTGGGCGAGCCCCGGCGTCTCTCCGGGTCCAACCAGGGTGGGCTTAGCGCAAGGCGGGAGAGGGAGGCGGCTCTTTCCCGCCCCTCCCCGGTCTCCCCCCCCTCCCCCACTCCGCAGCTCCGCTACTCAGCGTTGGAAGCGGAGAGCTCTCGGCTGCTGCTTCCCCGCGTCCTTGCGCACGGTCGCCGCCACCGCTGCCTCTCTACCTTTCCAGGTGCGATCGGGGGCTAGGGTCTTGCTGGATTTGGGGGTCCCGGAGCGAGCCCTGCCGGTCGGGTCGCCAGAGGAGGGCGGGGAGGGGGGAGAAGGAGACAGCCCCTTCCTTCCCTGAGCCCCCCCCCTCCCAAGTTGGGAAGACAGGGTCAGCCGCCAGACCCTCCTCCCTATAGTAGCTGGAGGCGCAAAGGGACGAGAAAGAGGGGCGGCGGGCTGGGTGGGTGGGGGGCTGGGTGGGGGGCTTGAAGGGAACCGTCCAGTTCTCCTCCGCCCCTCCATCCCAGGGCATTTTGGGGAGGGTGGGGGGGTCTTCGACGAGCGGGCTCCGCGCGCCCCCCCCCCGTTCGCCTTCGCCCTCGTTCTTCCCCCGACCCTGCCCGCGGTCCGGCTTCAGATTGGGGGTCCCCCCCCACCTCCATTTTCCCGCTTTACACAGACACGGAGCGTTTGGCTAACTCGCGGACGCCCGCCACCCACCCATTTTATTTTCCTGCCTTGCTTGGAGCTGCGTTGGCCGAGGTCCTGGGTCGAGATCCCCCCCCCATCTCCCGCGGGCGAGCCTGGCACCCCGGAGCGCGCTCCGGAGACCCCCCCCCAACCCCACCCGCTTCAACCAAGGTAGCGGGCTGGGCTATAACTCCGGAGGGTCGCCCCGGAGTAGCCCCCCCCTCGAGCCAAGAAGGGACACCCCCAGGGGGCAGGAACCCGAAAACCGAAAGACCCCCCCCCCGAAGCCAGTGGTCCCCTGGTTGGGTCTTCCTCCCTCCCGCAGGTGGGGGGGAGGGTCTTCTACCCCATTGATGGCGCTACTCCTCGTCTAAGAATTTTGGAAGACGGGCAGGGGGGGGGGTCCCCGTAGGAAAACCCAAGCTACGATTGGCTGCCGGGCCGACGTTCATTTGCATACCGGCGCCTATGAAAGAGCCGAGGCGGGGTGGGTCTGGCTGAGAAGCGAAGGAAGCAGGTGCCCGCGAGGGAAGCGCGCTTGGAAACGGGTTCGATGCCCGGCGGGGGCGCACGCCGGACCGGGTCTGGGCAGGATTGACAACCAGGCAGCGGCAGCAGCCCCCCCCCCCCGGGAAGGGTCTTTTGGCTGGCTGGCTGGCTGGCCCTCTCCGCTTGCCTGCCTGTCTGTTTTCCTTCTCTCTTTTTTCCTCTTTTCTCTTTTCTCTCTCTTCTCTGCTCGGCAGAGCGCGAAGCATGGGCGGCTGCCCGGTTGCGCCCAGCCGTTCCGTGGCCTTCCTCCGCCTGGCTTGGCTGCTGCTGCTGCTGCTCCTTCTGGCCTCGGCTTTGGGCAAGACCATTCGCTACCACACGTACGAGGAAGACCCCCCCGGCACGGTGATCGGGACCTTGGCCGACGAGTGGCCCCTGAAAGGGGCGTCCGGAGGCGAGAGAACTTTCCGGCTGGTGAAGGCGCCGGGCAACGGGTCCCTGGTGCGGGTGCGCGAGCGGGACGGGCAGCTCAGCCTGGGCTCGGAGCGGCTGGACCGGGAGCAGCTGTGCGGCGACGGCGGGGGGCCGGCGGAGGCGCCCTGCCTGCTGGCCTTCGACGTGCTGAGCCTGGGCGGTCCGGCGGGGGCCCCGGCGCCCTCCCGCCTGCTGCACGTGGAGCTGGAGGTGCGGGACCTCAACGACCACGCGCCCCGCTTCCCGCAGCCGCTGGTGGCCCTGGAGGTGTCGGAGAGCGCGGCGCCGGGCACCCGCCTGCCGCTGCCCCTGGCGCACGACCCGGACGCCGGCTCCAACGGGCTGCAGAGCTTCGCCCTCTCGCCGGGCAGCCCCTTCGGCCTGGAGGCGCGGAGCCGGGCCGACGGGCTGCGCTGCGCCGAGCTGGTGCTGCTGCGCGGGCTGGACCGGGAGGCGCAGGCGGGCTACCGGCTGGAGCTGGTGGCGGCCGACGGCGGGAGCCCGCCGCGCTCGGGCACGGCCACGCTCAGCGTGCGCGTGCTGGACGCCAACGACAACGCGCCCGCCTTCCCCCGGGGCGCGCTCCTGACCCTGGAGCTGCCCGAGGACGCGCCGCCGGGCGCGCCGCTGCTGGAGCTGGCCGCGGCCGACGCCGACGAGGGCGCCAACGGGCAGCTGCTCTACGCCTGGGGCAGCCAGGTGGGCGCCGAGGCGCGCCGCCTCTTCAGCCTCGACCCGCTCTCCGGCCGGCTGGCCCTGCGCGCCCCCGTCGACCACGAGCGGCAGCGCGCCTACGAGCTGGACGTGCAGGTCAGCGACCGCGGCGCCAGCCCGCTCTCCGCCAGCTGCAAGGTGCTGGTCCGCCTGCTGGACGTCAACGACAACGCGCCCGAGGTGGCCATCAGCGCCCTGGCGCCCGGAGGTGGCGGCGGTGGCAACGGCGGCGCGGAGCAGGCGGCGCGGGCCGGGCCGGCGGTGGCGTTGGTGAGCGAGGCGGCGGCCGCGCAGAGCCTGGTGGCGCTGGTCAGCACCTCGGACAGCGACGCGGGGGCCAACGGCCAGGTGCGCTGCGCCCTGCTGGCCGCGCCCCACCAGCCCTTCGCCCTGCAGCGCGCCTACGACGCCGCCAGCTACCTGGTGCTGACCACCGGCCCGCTGGACCGCGAGCGGGTGGCCGAGTACAACCTCACGCTGGTGGCCGAGGACTTGGGCTCGCCCCCGGCCAAGACGGTGCGCTCGCTCACGGTGCGGGTGGCCGACGAGAACGACAACGCCCCGCGCTTCGCCAAGGCCCGCTACGAGGTGGCCCTGCCGGAGAACAACCCCCCGGGGGCCTACCTGACCACCGTGGGGGCGTCTGACCCCGACTTTGGATCCAACAGCAAGGTGAGCTACCGGCTGCTGGACGGCCAAATCATGGGGGCCTCTATCTCCACCTACGTGTCGGTAGATCCAGCCACCGGAGCGATCTACGCCCTCCGAACGTTCAACTATGAGATCCTGAAAGAGGTGGAGTTGTCCATCCAAGCCACGGACGGGGGATCTCCTCCGCTCTCCAGTACGGCCTTGGTCAAGGTACGGGTGATGGACCAAAACGACAACGCTCCGGTCATCACTTCTCCTGCGCTCACCAATGGGTCCCTTGAAATTGGGGTGTCCAGCAGAGCTTCCAGGGACTCCCTCGTGGTCCACGTCAAAGCCAGGGACGCAGATGAGGGGGTCAACGCAGAGCTGAGCTTTGCTTTCTCGGAAGATCCCCAGCAGCAGGAAAGATCTCTAGATCTTTTTGCCATCAACCAGAAAACGGGGGAGGTTACGCTCAGGAGGAGCTTATCTGAAGAACAGCTGGGCCAAGTCTATCCTTTGCTTCTGACTGTGGCAGACAACGGGCTGCCACCTCTCTCCACCACTGTCGTGGTCAACTTCCTGGTGACTGCATCGCTACCTCCCTCTAGTGGCCAGGAGTCGGTGGCCAAGCCCAGCTCTTGGGAAGACCAACCTTTGCAGTGGGATGTCCCCTTAATCGTCATCATTGTCCTGGCTGGAAGTTGTACGTTGCTCCTGGTGGCCATCATCACCATTGCTACCACTTGCAACCGGCGTAAAAAGGAGAAGAAGGTGGTCTTGGAGGAACCTCTTGACACTTCTCAACTGGAGCAGGGCCATCAGGATGGAAGCGCCAGTGACGGTGCCCTCAACCCCTCCAGCCCCCACTTTGACGTGCATTCCTTCCCCAGCAAATCTTCCTTCGCTAGTCCCGAGCCGTCTCCAGACAGCGAAGATATTCCGGTTTCTGAGCACAGCCGGGAAACCACCAGTCTGTACGACAGCCAGAACCGACTTCGAGGAGCGAACGCGGAGGTAACTTCCTGCACCTTCCTTTACCTTGTGGAGAGAGGAAAACTTACCTTTCTGGTTTCAGCTTAGCGTATCTCACTGAAATTAGTGAAATGCAGGCCATAATTAATAACTTTTATTCATTTCTCCTACTCTACTTTATTCTATTCCTATATTCCTCTTTTCTTCTCTTCTATTCTATTCTATTCTATTTTATTCTATTCTATTCTATTCTATTCTATTCTACTCTACTCTACTCTACTCTACTCTACTCTACTCTCCTTGTTCTATTCTATTCTATTCTATTCTATTTTCTTCTATTCTATTCTATTCTACTCTACTCTACTCTACTCTATTCCATTCTACATTCTATTCTATGCTATTCTACTCTACTCTACTCTACATTCTATCCTATTCTATTCTATTCTATTCTATTCTATTGAGTTACTCACGTTGAGAGTTTCCTGAATGCAAATAAAGCATGTTAGAATTTCAAGTATTAGAGATCCAGCTGGATTATCTGGCTTCAGGGGGTACAGTGGTATAGGTCGGGGGTCCCCAACCCCTGGTCCGTGGACTGACACCCGTCCATGGCATGGCAGCAATTGGCCCATGCAAACAAGCCAAGCCCCATCCACGGGATGCAGGCTGATGCGAAACCACGCCCCTTCCGGTCCGTGGGAAAACCTCTCTCTCCAGAACCGGTCCCTGGTGCTCCAAAGGTTGGGGGGGGTCACTGTTGTAGATTTGGCCTTTGGCGAACAGATCTGAAAAAATAGCGGTGTTTAATTTCGTGGCTCGTTTCTTTATTATTCTAAGTGTCAAGGATCTGATGAACTATAAATACGGGGGGGAGGGGTATATAGAGATAGAAGAGTCCCCTGGAGTCTATTGATTAGCCTGGTTTATTTATGTTCTTTCTTCTGACCATCATTGTGCCTTTTCTTTCTTTGTCTGTCTGCGTCGCTCTTCTCCCACCCTCGTTCTCCCTCCTGGCGTCGGCGCTCCTTCCCAGTCTTACACTTCCACCCCTAGTTACGGCAAAGAACCCGCAGCCCCGGTCGCCATGTGGAAGGGCCACTCCTTCAACACTCTGTCGGGCCGGGAAGGAGACAAATTCAGCGGGAAAGACAGCGGCAAAGGGGACAGTGACTTCAATGACAGCGACTCTGACATCAGCGGAGATGCCCTGAAGAAAGACCTGATCACCCACATGCAGAACGGTAAAGATTCCTTTCACCTCTCGGCTGACCGATCTGCAATGTTCACAGGGAGGTGAAACGGTGGCTTCTGAAACAGAGTAAAACGAACAGGGTGTTGGTTGCAAAGCCCCTCTGGTAACCTAAATATTCCTCATTCCTTTTGGGAAAGCTAGGAACACGCAGGGCAGCAGCCCTGCTCTTCTTCGTAGGCACTCAAGAGAGCTCTTGGGGATTTCAGCACCAATGGGGCAGAAGATGTTTAGAATAGAATAGAGCTGGAAGCTGGAAGCTGCTGTTTATTTCATATTCTTTAAATAGAGTAGAGTAGAGTAGAGTAGAGTAGAGAGTAGAGTAGAGTAGAATAGAGCTGAACAGAAATAGAGTAGAGTAGGGTAGGGTAGAGTAGAGTATTGGAATGAAGAATAGAATAGAATACAATACAATAGAATACAATACAATAGAATACAATACAATACAATACAATACAATAATTAGAATAGAATAGAATAGAATAGAGAAATTAGAATAGAAATAGAATAGAATAGAAAATGAATAGAGTAGAATGCAGAATAAAATAGAATAGAATAGAATAATTAGAATAAAATAGAATAGAATAGAATAGAATAAATTAGAATAGAAATAGAATAGAATAAATAGAATAGAAAATGAATATAGTAGAATGCAGAATAGAATAGAATAGAATAGAATAGAATAGAATAGAATAGAATAGAATAGAATAGAATAGAACAGGACCTTGGAGGTCTTCTAGTCCAGCCCCCTGCTCAAGCAGGAGAACCCATACCATTTCAGACAAGTGACTGTCTAGTCTCTTCTTAAAAACCTCCAGTGATGGAGTGCCCATGATTTCTGGTGGCAAGCTGTTCCACTGCTTAATTTTTCTCACTGTTAGGAAGTTTCTCCTTAATTCCAGGTTGCTTCTCTCTTTGGTCAGTTTCCAACCATTGTTTCTCGTCCTGCCCTCTGGTGCTTTGGAGAATAATTTGACCCCCCTCTTCTTTTGGGGCAGCCCCTCAAATACTGGAACACTGCTATCATGTCTCCCCTATTTCTTCTTTGCTTTAGAGTAGGCAAACCCAAGTCCTGCGGCCGTTCTTCGTATTTTTTAGTCTCCAGGCCTTTGATCATCTTAGTTGCTCTTCTCTGGATTTTTTCCAAGGTCTCGACATCTTTTTTGTAGCATGGTGACCACAATTGGTTGCAAGATAGAGGATGCACCCGCCCCACTGGAATAGATTCATTTTAATTAAATGTTGCATTATCCTGCTCATAAGAGAACCATCCTCCGTTTCCACTACACTGCTTTGAGGCTGAGAGATACTCGTCAAAGTCACTAAGAAAGGTTAATGGCTGAGTAGAGATGTGAGCTCTGTTTGATTGGCTCTCGTAAAATACATGGTTTTGCAAGATCCAGTCTGGGTCGGTTCCTGAGGATGGGCTCCATCACAAAAGCTCAGAAGATTAAACCTTTGGTCCCGGTGACCTACCCCGATTGGATCTTTCAACATTATCCTGGGACACGTATATTTGCCTTCCTTTGTAGTTGGTTTCGTTTCCAAGTCAGATTAGCAGATAGATAATAATAATATTCTAATAATAAAGTTGGAAGGGACCTTGGAGGTCATCTAGTCCAACCCCGTACTCAGGCAGGAAACCCTATACCATTTCAGATAAATGGCTGTCCAGTCTCTTCTTAAAAACTTCCAGTGTTGGAGCATTCAGAGCTTCTGGAGGCAGGTTGTTCCACTGGTTAATTGTTCTAGCTGTCAGGAAGTTTCTCCTTAGTTCCAGGTTGCTTCTCTCCTTGATTAGTTTCCATCCGTTGCTTCTTGTCCTGCTTCAGGTGCTTTGGAGAATAGCTTGACTCCCTCTTCTTTGGGGCAGCCCCTGAGATACTGGAAGGCTGCTATCATATCTCCCCTCGTCCTTCTCTTCATTAAACTAGACATATCCAATTCTTGCAACCGTTCCTTATATGTTTTAGCCTCCAGTCCCCCAATCATCTTTGTTGCTCTTCTCTGCACTCTTTCTAGAGTCTCAGCATCTTTTTTACATCGTGGTGACCAAAACTGGATGCAGTATTCCAAGTGTGGCTTTACCAAGGCCTTGTAAAGTGGTATTAACGCTTCACGTGATCTTGATTCTCTCCCTCTGTTAATGCACCACAGCACTGTGTTGGCTTTTTTGGCAGCTGCAGCACACGGCTGGCTCCTATTTAAAGGATTGTCCACTAGGACTCTGAGATCCCTCTCACAGTTGCTACTACTAAGCAAGGTATCCCCTATACTATACCTGTGCATTTGGTTTTTCTTGCCTAAAGGTAGAACCTTGCTTTTTTTTCACCATCAAATTTCTTTGCAGCTGCAGATTTCTCCATTGTTTGGTCACAGTTGAAAACGGGAGGCCTTTTTAGACCGTTGAAAATGGCAGGCATTCTTAGAACAGAGTCCAGCTTTGTCTCCATAACTAGAAGGGGGAAATTGCAACTGAAAACATGCATGGTGAGAAGGAACCCCTGTGTTAGATTAGGGCAGTGTCTCTTCACCTTGGCAGTCCCAGATGCGTCGTCTTCTGTTCCCAGAGAATTAACTATTTGCCGAGAATTGGACCACATCTAGAAACTGCCGTAGGGAGAAAGTGTAGGTTGGAAGAAGCTGGTTTTTCTGCAATTGTTGGGTTTCGGTTGGTGTAGTCGTTGATTGCTGGTAATGCTGGCCATGTTTCACAAAAGCTGAAACCCACCAACAGCTAAAGGAACACAGATTGTCCACGTCTGCTTTTTCCCTGTAAGCTGTTACGATGGACAAGTTGAAATGATAGCCAAGGATCAGGGACATGAAGGTCACAGTATCACTTGAGCCATGTATCGTTGCTTTCTACTTTCCATGGATCTTATAATGAAAATAGGAAGATAGATATTATTCAGGATCAGAATCAGAATAGAACTGGAAGGGACCTTGGAGCAGACCCTACACCATTCCAGACAAATGGCTGTCCACTCTCTTCTTAAAAACCTCCAGTGAAGGAGCACCCTTGACTTCTAGTGGCAAGCTGTTCCACTGGTTAATTGTCCTCACGCTTAGGAAGTTTCTCCTTAATTCCAGGTGGCTTTTCTCCTTGGTTAGTTTCCATCCATTGTTTCTTGTCTTGCTTTCTGCTGCTTTAGGAGAATAGGTTGACCCCCCTCTTCTTTGGGGCAGACCCTCCTATACTGAAACATTACTATCATGTCACTCCTAGTCCTTTTCTCTAGACTAGCCTAACCCCAAATCCTGCATATGTTTTTGTCTCCAGGCCTTTAATCATCTTAGTTGCTCTTCTTTGCACTTTTTCCAAAGTCTCAACATCGTTTTTTTTATTTGTAATGTGGGGATCAAAACTGGATGCAGCATTCCAGATGTGTTCTTTGCTAAGGCTTTTCCCCCCATTTTTTCATTTTATTCTGTGTTTTAATAACAGTACAGGTAGCTTCCCACACACACACACACACTTATGACCATTTGTTTTGCACGTATCCAAAGTTACGTTGCTGGGAAAAAAAGGGATTTATAAGTAGTCCTCGCACTTAGGAGCATCTCAGCATCAACACTGCAATAGTCAGCATGGCAGTTACGACCATCCCTGTGGTTACATGATCAAAAATTTGGGCACTTGGGCAACTGTCGTGTAGTTTCAGTGTCCTGGGGTCTTTTGATGATCATTTACAATTTTCCCAGGAGGCTTCTGACCAGCAGAGTCAATGGCGAAAGACGGATCTGCTTAATGACGCCATGATTCACTTAAAGACATGACAAAAAAAAGCTTGTAAAATTGAGCCCAATTCACTTAACAGCTACCTTGCTTAGTGATGGAAATTGTGGATGTAAGACTACTTTTACACTATATCCTTAGCTAATTTACTCAATTTTCACAACAGTTCTGTTTTATTCCCCGATTCTTTTCAATAGTCTTTTATTTGTCCATTGTGACTCATATCAATGCTGATTTTTTCCCCCTTGGGGAACGTAGAAGAGAGAAGCATAGAGATATACAACACTGCGAAAACCAAGTTATTTTAACCATATTTACATTTTGTAAGGGCTTTGGATTGGCTTCCCCAGTCAATAGAAGTGATAAGAATTGTAGATTGATATTTTGAGGACAATCGATTTAGGAAAACATAGATGATTGACTTTCAGAAGTCAGTTTAGGATATTTGAACCCACACAACTCCAGGCTACATGCTTCCTTCTCTCCCTTCTCCCAGATTAGATGAACAGAACCATTGAATGAACAAAACACTATTGGAATCAATATTGTTTCCAGGGAATTCAGCCATCTTGTCTAGAGGGCCAACAAATGATGGTATTGATAAAGCTACAGGAATTTTCATGGGTGGGAAAAGTTATGCCTATCCTTACCTTTCCTCAACGTGGAGGGTTGCGACATGTTGAGGGCTTCAGGACACATAGTCCTCGACTTACGACCACAATTGAGCCCAAAATTTCTGTTGCTAAGCGAGACAGTTGCTAAGTGAGTTTTGCCCCATTTTACAAACTTTTTCCAACTCTGTCATTCCATTCCATTCCGTTCATTCTGTTCTGTTTCACTCATTCTATTCCGTTCTGTTTTATTCTGTTCTGTTCCATTCCATTCCATTACATTACATTCATTCTGTTCTGTTCCATTCTTTCTATTCTATTCTGTTCTGTTCCGTTCCATTCCGTTCCGTTCCGTTCCATTCCATTCTCTACTCTATTCTGTTCTGTTATATTCTATTCTGTTCTCCTACTCTACTCTATTCTACTCTATTCTATTCCTATATTCTATTCTACTCTATTCTATTCTATTCTATTCTATTCATCTCTCCTCTATTCTATTCTATTCTATTCATCTCTCCTCTATTCTATTCTACTCTACTCTACATTCTATTCTATTCTATTATTCTATTCTATACTCTTTCTATTCTATTCTATTCTATTCTATTCTGTTCTGTTCTGTTCTCCTACTCTACTCTACTCTACTCTGCTCTGTTCTATTCCTATATTCTATTCTACTCTACTCTACTCTACTCTACATTCTATTCTATTCTATTCTATTCTATTCTATTCTATTCTACAATCTTTCTATTCTATTCTATTCTACTCTACTCTACTCTGCATTCTATTCTATTCTATTCTATTCTATTCTATTCTATTCTTGTCACAACTGTTAAGTGAATCACTCCAGTTGTTAAGTTAGTCACACGGTTATTAAGTGAATCCGGTTTCCCCCGTCGACTTGGCTTTATGATGGTTGCAGCAGTTCTGGGATCACGTGATCCCAGAACTGCTGCAACCATCATAAATATGAGCCAGTTGCCAATGTTCAAATTTTGATCCCATGATCAGGTGGATGCTGCAACAGTCATAAGTGTGAAAAAATGATCCTAAGTCACTTTTCCCAGTGCCCTTGTGACTTTGAACAGTCACTAAATGAACGGTTGTAAGTCTAGGACCCTCTGTCCTGACGTGACAAAAGCTACGATTCTTTGCAATTCTGAGACCAGTCAATGAATTTCATAGTGGGCTTGCAGGATCCACCGAGGCAGAAGATGGTTACCTACTTACTCATTACTTACTCAAACCTGCCTATGTTTGTCTGGTTGACTGCATACATGCTGGACTTAGAGCAGAATAAAATTAAGTCGCTGCCCTTTGATTGGATCCTGCTTGAGCGTGTGCTGTTGTCACAGGCTTTCTAGCAACCCAAATCCTTGCAGGGGTTTCAGATCCACCCAAATGAAGCCTGCGGGAGGAGCTCAGTTGCCAGAGATCCAGCAGGAATGAAGGAATCAAAATGGCAGCTTCTTAATCCCAAATGCCAGAATATAGTTGATTTTGCTTTGCAGAAGGGTGTGTGTGTGCGTGTGTGTGTGTGTGTGTGTGTGTGCGCTAGTTTGGGACAAATTTGCTATTAGGTGCGAGTGGGAGTGTTCCTCCTGCTCAGAATGAATGAAGGAAGATATTTGCAGCTCAGGGTTAAAATGAGGGATCCTTGACGCTCTCTGAGCTGGGTGGTTTTCTGTCAGACGTTTCATTACCCAACTAGGTAACATCGTCAGGGCTAGTGATGATGCTTATCTCCTGATGATGTTGCCTAGTTGGGTGATGAAATGTCTGCATGAAAACAAGCAAGCTCAGAGAGCACCAAGGACCCCACAGTCGTCGTCCTCCTCCTCCTCCTCCTCCTCCTCCTCAACTCCTTTGTAGCCCTGATGATGTTACTTAGTTGGGTAATGAAACGTCTGCAAGAAAATAGCCAAGCTCAGAGAGCACCAAGGACCCCACACTCATCTCTTCCTCCTCCTCCTCCTCCTCCTCCTCCTCTTCCTCCTCCCCACAAACCCCCCTCCCTTCTAGTACTGATGATGCTCCCTAGCTTGTGTAATGAAACATCTGCAAGAAAACAACCAAGCTCAGAGAGCACCAAGGATCCCATAGTCATTGTTGTCCTTCTCCTCTTCCTCCTCCTCCATCTCCCTTCTAGCACTGATGATGTTACTTAGTTGGGTAATGAAACATCTGCAAGAAAACAAGCAAGCTTAGAGAGTACCAAGGACCTCACAGTCCCCTCGTCCTCCTCCTTCTCCTCCTCCTCCTCCTCCTCTTCCCGTCTAGCACTGATAATGTTACTTAGTTGGGTAATGAAACGTCTGCAAGAAAACAAGCAAGCTCAGAGAGCACCAAGGACCCCACAGTCTTTTTCTCCTCCTCCTCCTCCTCCTCCTCCTCCTCCTCCTCCTCCATCTACCTTCTAGCCCTGATGATGTTGCTTAGTTGGGTCATGAAGCGTCTGCAAGAAAACAACCAACCTCAGAGAGCACCCGGGACCCCACAGTCGTTGTCCTCCTCCTCCTCCTCTTCTCCACAAACCCCTTCCCTTCTAGCCCTGATGATGTTACTCAGTTGGGTCATGAAACGTCTGCAAGAAAACCACCCAGCTCAGAGAGCACGACAGAACCCAACTTGGACTTCCTGTCGGTTGTGCTGTGTGGTCTTACTGTACGTTGTGCCTTTTGGTCTCTCACACACCTGCTTTTGTCCCTTGCCTACTTCTAGGGCTGTGGGCTTGCACCGCCGAATGCAAACTGCTGGGCCACTCGGACCGATGCTGGAGTCCTTCTTGCGCTCAGACCAACCCCCACACCTCCCCCCACCCCAAAACCCAGCTCTCCACCTTCTGCAGGACCACCTCCTTGCCCCGGGACACCCTCCATCGGGACCACTTCTACCCCGCCCAGCTGCCGAAGACGGTCGGTCTGCAGAGCGTCTACGAGAAGGTTTTGCACCGGGATTACGACCGGACACTAGGTCTGAGGTCCCCTCCTCATCCGGGGAGATTGCCTGACCTTCAGGAGATCTCGGTGCCTTTATACGAATCTCCCTCTCATCATTATTTAGGTTCTCCTTCCGAGACCAGCAAAAAGGTTTAAAACACCTCCCAGCCCTGGAGGGGTGTGAGCGTTAAGCCACTGGCCCTCGTTGAGGAAAGAGACCTCAACGTCTTTATTTCTAAAAAGCTGCACCGGTTGGGGAGGGTTCGTTCTCTTCCTCCTTTGCAGCAGGACCGCGACTCTGAGCATGTGCAAAGTGTCTCTCCCACCACTTCGTCTCTCCCAAGATTCCGGGAGGGGGGGGGAGAAAAAAAACTTTTTTATATCTCTTTTGATAAACGAAACGTTGCTTTGATTCTCTCCACTCCCATCTACGAATGGACTCAGAAAGTTTGACGTCCCCAAGACATTGTGAACGGGGTCTGATGATGTATATAAGTTTTAAGTAAAACGTGCCTTAAAATACAATAATGCGAATATGTACAAACATACCGTACACGCATATCAGCTATGGAGAGAGAAAAAAAGGTGTGTCCCGAGTATATTTGTACATGCGTACACCCAGAATTACATGCATAAAACATGCATGTGTGTCTTCTGTACAGATAAGACAATGACGTATAAATGAAGTTGTTGGGAAGAATTTCCCATTGCATCGGTGCTGTTTGATATTTGCAAACGAGAAACTCTTGTTAAATGTAATTTTTATGAAATGTGCAGTATTTAATGATTTCCCCAGATTCCCTCCTTCGTTTCACTCACCGTCTGCATTCATCCCCTTTTTCGCTCGAACCTGTATATCATGTAATGTACTGTTTGTATATAGAGACAGATCATTCTATTTTTATATAATAAAACCTTGAGGATCAAATCTTCTTTCCAAGGAAAATATTTAAAAGATACATTCAGAAAAAAGAGTGAGAGAGAGCGCCAGCCGTGAATCTTGTAGGCATCCATAAAACAATGTTAATGTTAGCTAAGCTGTTGCTTGTTGTTAGAAAGACAGCTTTGCCAAGTGTGAATTGTGTTGCTGAAGTCCATGGTGAGTTTCAAACTAAATGTGGATTAATTATTCTGTGTCACTTTGTGCAAAACACTAATAAAGGTTATGTGTCAGATACCGTGATTCACTGGCCTTAGCAGGTAAAATTATTTTGGCATAGGGACACCGAGAGTCGTGAACACCATCGTAGAAATAAGAGCCTCAAAGCTGAGATGACTTCCCCCCCTACACTCAGTAGAAGCCACACCATGAGTGACATCTCCCAGGTGACTCCAAAAAGATAGCTCATGTTTAGTAATAACCAAATATCCCCCTGATTGTGCATTCTGCTCTGATGTTACTCAGGAAATCACTCAAATTAGGAAGGATCAGGGAGACATGATAGCGGTATATTTGAGGGGCTCCTGCAAAGATGAGGGGGGTCCAAGCTATTCTCCAAAGCACCAAAAGGGAACATGAGAAACAATGGATGGAAGCTAACCAAGGAGAGAAGCAACCTGGAACTAAGGAGAAACTTCCTGACAGTGAGAACAATTAATCAGTGGAACAGCTTGCCTCCAGAAGTTGTGAGTGCTCCATCACTAAAGGCTTTCAAAAAGAGACTGGACAACCATTGGTCTGAAATGATATAGAGTCTCCTGCTTGAGCAGGGGGTTGGACTAGAAGACCTCTAAGGTCCCTTCCAACTTTATTTTATGTTCTATATTCCTTGCTTTAACCATTATATCATCTTGGCTCACTATGTTTGATAAGTGGTCCTTCCACCTTTGATGTTGCTACTCAACGTTGACCACCACATCATCTTGGCTCACTACGTTCAACTAGTGGTTGCTCCATCTTCGAAGTTACTCCCTAGTTTAACCATTACTACTCCCTAGCTTATTACATGAGTAAATTAATTAGGCAACTTAATTTTTGTCCCATCTCCTCAGAGTGTCATTGTACAGATTCTTGGCTGTTCTACCAAGATCGGAGGGTTGGGGAAGGTAGTTGCAGCTGCAAGAAAGCAGGTTAGTAGTTGCTACTTATATCACTTTGAACATTTGTAAGAGTTTAGAGTTAGCACTAAGCTCAGAATGAAGAATGGTGAAACCTCTAAGTCAAGCTCAGTTCCTGTTCACTCCATGAAGTTAGCCAGGAAAGAATCACTTAACTGCAACTTGACCTCAGTTGTTCCAAGTGGAGATGATAGATAGCTGGATGGATGGATGGATGGATGGATGGATGGATGGATAGATAGATAGATAGATAGATAGATAGATAGATAGATAGATAGATATAATAGATAGAGAAATTCTGGGAGTTGAAGTCCACAAGTCATAAAAGGGCCAAGTTTGAAGACCCCTGGTGTAACAGCTATGCCAAGAAAGGCCGTAAAAGGGGGCTAAATTCACTTAACAACTGTCTTGCTTAGAGGAACAGAAATTTTGGGCTCAATTGCAGTCGTACGTTGAGGACTGCTTCTAATAGGCTTCATAGCTGGCCCCTGTGGTCTTGCAATTAATTGTAAACTACTTGTAAAAGAAGAAGTGGTCAAGACTGGAGGAAGTGTCAAGAGAAGAATCAGTCTAGAATCTCTACGTTCCCACAAGCAGTCTAAGTCTTGAAACAGTGATGGCCGTTCGTTGACTAGATTCTTGCGCATAAGTATGAGCAACAAAACAATTCAACTTCATGAGCAATTCTGCTCTTTCTCACCTGACATTATTCTGCGCAAGAAATAAAAAAATGTATAGCAATACATCGTTGCATAGAATTTGGATTTATGGGGGTGATGGTGGTCAATCCAATCAGAGTTTCTCAGAAATGGTTGCTGAAAAAAGTAAGACCTGAAAAACCAAACCATCATCTCTGACTAAGCCAAGAAGATCAGGGTGATACGGAAGGCTGAATTGAGGGGTCCTTGGTGCTCTCTGAGCTTGGTTGTTTCCGTGCAGACGTTTCGTGACCGAACTAGGCAACATCATCAGTGCTAGAAGGAAGTGGGGTTTGCAGAGTGGAGAAGGAGAATTGTGAGGGTTCTTGGTGCTCTCTGAGCTTGGTTATTTCCTTGCAGACGTTTCATGACCAAACTAGGCAACGTCATCAGTGCCAGCATGATGATGTTACCTAATTTGGATAATGAAACATCTGCAAGGAAACAACCAAGCTCAAGAAGCAACAAGGACCCCTCATTTCAATCCTGATTTACAAATATTCCCATATAGGCTGAATTGTTCCATCTGTCAACCATCAATTTCTTTCTTAAATCCTAACATAAGTTGGCAGCTCTAAACTCGTACAGATGTTTAAGGGTGACAAGAGCAGAGACTACTGACCTACTTCTGCTTTGTTGAAGCTGTGAGGAATTCATTACTAACCTCCCCAACATTCTGGTCTTGGTGGAACAGCCAAGAATCTATCTAGCGACAGGTTGAGGAGGTGGGACAAAAATTAAGCCACTTTGCCAGGGGTAGGCAACCTTGGCTCTTTTATGACACATGGACTTCAACTCCCAGAATTCCTGAGCCAGCCACACTGAGGGGAAAGGGAGAGGTTTCCAAGCTGAGCCATGCTGGCTGAGGAATTCTGGGAGTTGAAGTCCAGGAGTCATAAAAGAGCCAAGGTTGCCTACCCTGCGCTTGGCTAAGGCTGCCCATCCCTGAGCTGAAATCCTGCCAATGTTTGATGAGAAACTGTCTATTAAGCGTCTGCTGTCACTGCAACGAAGCTGAAAAACCCTCCCTCTGCGAAAAGAGAGAGTTTTGATAGATGTTTCTTGACCTTCATCAGAAAGAAGGAAACCTCACTGGAACAGAAAATATTGAGTCGATATCGTCCGGGGAGCTGGAACAGGAAAGGAGCAGATGGCCACGAAGAAGAGAAGGATGATCCGCTCTGACGATGGGAAATTTTAATGAGCAATTCCGGATGCAAAGAAACAACTCATTCATTCCAGCTAAGCATTTGGCCATCGGAAGGATTGTTTTGGTCTGCTTCCATTGAGGAAAAAAAAAAAAATCATTTTTCTCTCCCCCTCCCTCCCACAACTTGTAGGGCAAACAAAATTATCCTTGCATAATTTCGGAAGCCCCGTGTTTTCCCAAAAAAGAGTTCCAAGGGACAGCATCCATGTTTACTGTTTTTTGGTTGTGTTTTTTTAAACCCGGAAACTTCATCTGCATTTGCATTATTTTCCAGTAATGAACACAGAACAAATTCTCATTTCAGAAATAAATCCCAGCAACCTTGTTCATCCTGGATCTTCAGCTTTGCAAAAGCAAAGTCATTTTTTTTCACACACACTCCCCCACCACCGACATTGAATCACAAACCAGCCTGAAGCTTTTCCTTTGATAATGAACTGATTTTTTCCTTCCAGAATTCCTAGTAATACCAACATGGGCCGAGAAGCTATAAAAATAAAATAAAATCAAGGTTTAATGCTATTTGTAGATTACAGTCGAGGAATAAAATAGCCCGGGAAAATGTATCTTTGGGCCACAATTTTGATTTTGTGGACAGCTTCTTTCATTACTATTATATAGTAGGGGTTTTATTTTTTTCCTGGTATCTCCTTATAAATGTATGGCTCAGTAAAACTCTTAAACCATTTTTTTGTTGACATCACGGAATTGTTTGGGGCCAAGTGGACTTCTTTTATCACCGGCGAGATTCTTTAAATCACCTTGATCAGAGCTGAGATCAATTTCTGTAGAAACAGGACTGAGATCGCCGTAGTAAAAAGAACATTTTCCAAGGTGTAATGGGGATAACAGGATAGATTGGGGAATTGTTCCCTAGTTGTAGCATCTGGGAGACCTTTTCCTGGAGCTGGAATAAAAATAAAGCTGAAAGGGGCCATGGGAGACCTTGGAGGTCTTCTAGTCCAACCCCCTGCTCAAGCAGGAGACCCTATACCATTTCAGACAGGTGGCTGTCCAGTCTCTTCTTAAAAACCTCCAGTGATGGAGCACCCACAATATCTGAAGGCAAGCTGATCCACTGGTTAATTGTCCTCACTGTTAGGAAGTTTCTCCTTAATTCCAGGTTGCTTCTCTCCTTGGTTAGTTTCCATCCATTGTTTCTTGTCCTGCCTTCTGGTGCTTTGGAAAATAAGTTGACCCCCTCCTCTTTGTGGCAACCTCTCAAATACTGGAACGCTGCTATCATGTCACCCTTATTTCTTCTTTTCTCTAGACTAGCCAAACCCAGTTCCTGCCACTGTTCTTCATATGTTTTTTTTTTTTTTTGTCTCCAGGCCTTTAATCGTCTTAGTTGCTCTTTTCTGCACTTTTTTTCCAAAGTCTCAACCTCTTTTTTATACTGTGGTGGCCAAAACTGGTTGCAGCATTCCAAGTGTGGCCTTACTAAGGGTTTATAAAGCGATACTCATATTTCGTGTGATTTTGATTCTGTGCCTCTGTTTATACAACCAAGGATTGTGTTAGCTTTTTTGGCTGCTGCCACACATGGCTGGATCATGTTTAAGTGGAACCTCAAGAAGGCTGGGCCTGGTTACTTGGATAAAAGACAACAACTTGGCTAGTGTCTGAAGAAAAGGAGAAGTAAGGGAGACACGATAGCAGTGTTCCAGTATCTGAGGGGCTGACACAAAGACGAGGGGAGGGTCAACCCATTCTCCAAAGCACCAGAAGGCAAGACAAGAAACAATGGATGGAAACTAATCCAGGTGAGAAGCAACCTGGAATTGAGGATAAACTTCCTAACAGTGAGGACAATCAGCCAGCGGAACAGCTTACCCCCAGAAATCGTGGGTGCTCCATCACTGGAGGTTATTAAGAAGAGACTGGACATTCACCTGTCTGAGAAGGTTCTCCTGCTTGAGCAGGGGGCTGGACTAGAAGACCTCCAAGGTTCCTTCCAGCTCTATTCTATTCTACCATTTTTCCACCGTTTTTTCCTCTCTCTTGTTGTTGTTGTTAATTGCGAAGTCGTGTCCGACCCATCGCGACCCCATGGACAATGTTCCTCCAGGTCTTCTACCATCTTCTGGAGTCCATTTAAGTTCACACCTACTGCTTCAGTGACTCCATCCAGCCATCTCATTCTCTGTCGTCCCCTTCTTCTATTGCCTTCAATCTTTCCCAGCATTAGGCCCTTCTCCA